CCTCTCTCTCTCTTTCTTTCTTTCTTTCTTTCTTTCCTCTTTCTTTTTTGCTCTCATCTAACTAACATTCTCAGGGCTCCAGCTCCAAAGCATGCCCTGTGCAGAGAGCTGAGGATGAGCAGAGTAAAAGGGCCCCTTGGGCATGCTCTGTCTACAGTAGGGCAGGTGGTATAAATAATTATGACATGCTGTCATAGGTGCCACAAGGGCGTGCAGGACACTGCAGAAGCATCGTGGGTGGCAGAGGGCCTCCGCATGAGGGTGATGGAAGGCTTCTGGCCAGGGTGGCCTCTGAGCTGAGGCTGGAGGGGTGGGAGCAATTCACCAGGTGAAGGAGAGAGGGAAAGGCAGTTGGACAGGCACAGGTGGAGGTGGCAGCCCCATCCTTGGCCCTGAGCACAGTGTGTTTGCAGTGGAGGCAGCTGTGGGAGGGAAGGGAAGTTGAACACAGAGTGTGCCGGATCAGATTTCTCTTCATCTTCCTTAATAGCTGTTTAGCAGGACAACTCCCACCGTCAAACCCACCCTGACTACCGCTCTCAGACTATTTTGCCCAAAATATTGTTTTGTCCCAGCTCTGTCATGAATGAACACATGAGTAAGCCCCATTCCTGCCTGGCTTCTGAGCTCCCCCTCCTCCCAGCTGACTCCCTCCTGCTCTGAACTCCAGTCCACCCCACTCGCTCGGACCTGGGTCTTCACCCAGAGTGTGGGTCATGCATGCAGTTTGGAATTTTCCCTCCAGCACGCAGGAACACCACTGAGGTGCCTGCTGCAGTAGCTAAGAGAAGATGCAGCCTGGCCTCTGGGACCTCTGCAGAAGGCTAGGGAGCAGAAACACTGAGGAGGCAGGGCCAGGACTCCATCACCATTCCTAGTTTCAGGAAGGTGGATGGGAAACGAGTCCCTCAGAGGGCCCAGCACTGTGGGGTTTCTCTTTGCCCAGGTGAACACCCACCGAGACAGTGCCTTCGAATTCCTCAGCCAGGGCCTGGAGTATGCCAAGAGTTCTCGGGCCTCCCTCCGGAAGTCCTCGGTCCTGTTCATAGGTAACCTGCCCTGGGATCTCCAGTCCTGCCTGCTCTTCAGGCTGACTCCCTGGAGGCTGCCAGCTGTTCTGGCCTGGGCCAGATGCGTCCCCTCAGGTTGAACCTTGGCCGGCAGCCAGCCAGAGAGCACATTAAAATGGCCTTCCCTCCTCTAAGAAGTGGGCTGCAGTAGGGTCCAGGCCACATCCTAGCAGTTGTACACAGCTGAGCTGCCACTTCCCCTGAAGCACACAGGAACATGTCCAAGCCCAGCAGCAGCCAAGGCAAAGCCCCCTGGAGCACAGCATAGGGGCCATAGCGTGGAGAGCCAAGTGGAATCTCAGCTCCATGACCCCAGTTGGGCCTCGGTTTCCTCGTCTGCAAGATGGATTTTCTTTTCTTTTCTTTTCTTTTCTTTTTTTGGTACCGGGGATCAAACTTGGAACCTTGTGCTTACAAGGCAGGTGGCGGAACCACTGAGCTATATTCCTGGCTGCAAGATGAGAACCAACTCCTATTTCACACATAAGTTGAGAATATTTTTTTCTCAAGTTTTTACATTTATTTGTACATGTTCACAGTACCTAATGATTACATTCATCATAGGGATTACGTGTACATCACACATCTTAGTTCTTTTTAAGTCCCTTTTCTTTCCTGAGAATATTTTTTTAAATGTAAGGCCTCTGGCACATCAAGGTCACCTTCATTCTTTTCTTTCCCACTATCCCATTCTCTGCCTTTCTAGGAAAGAAAAAACAAATAGCAAAAAAGAAAAGCTAGGCATGGTGGCGGATCCCTGTAATCCCAGCACTTGGGAGGCTGAGGCAGGTGGATTGCTGTGAGTTAGAGGCCAGCCTGTGCTACATAGTGAGTTCAAGGCCAGCCTGAACTACATAGTGAGACATGCTCAAAAAGAAAAAAAAAAAAATCCCAGCACCTGGGAGGCTGAAGCAGGAGGATCATCAAGAGTTCAAGATCAGCCTGGGCTACATAGTCCAAGGCCAGCCTGAACTACACAGTGAGACCCTGTCTCAAACAAAAAACAAAACGACTCCCCCCAAACCAAACCAATCACTCAAACAAACAAAAAACCCAAATAGCAGATCCGCCTTGCCCTGAATCCCCCAGAACTCTTCAGACTGCAGACTGGTTATGCCTTCTCCTTTCTACTCTCCCTACCCCCAAACAGCCACATTCTTAGGCAGGCTAGGGAACTGGTCTACCCCCGAGCTACACCCAGCCCAACCACATTGCCTTCCTAAGGGCCAGGAGACCTTGCTGCAGACAGGCTAGGAACAACTGCCTCTTCATGTTTCTTTCAGTCCCTTCACTTAGTTTGTTTGCTGTTTTTCATCCACTCACCCACCCATCCATGGGCTTACTTAGCAAACATTGATTGATAGCCCACTCTGTGCAGGTTACAGACCGAAAGAGCCCTTCCAGAAGTGCTGCTGATTGGAGGGTGGGTTGGGGTGAGGGCTGAGGTGGCTGTTAACACGACCCCTGCTTTCCCCAGAATGTGGGGGTCGCTCGGAGGAAGCTTCTTCCATGGAGTGATGTCTGCTTCCTAGCTGCTGATTTCTTTAAATCTTGTTTCCCATTAACCACTCCTGAAAGTGCTAGTCTTTAACACCCTGTGCCAGGGCCTGAGCTTGAGTGAGCCTGGTGTAGCCGGCAGGCAGCCCCCACCACTGTCAGGGCTGTTTATCCTCTTTTGGGTCACAGATATTTTGTGAGAGTCTGAAGAAAGCTGTAAGACTTTCCTTAGAAAAATGCACATATGCATGCAATTTGGCATGTAATTTTAGGGTCCTTGGAGAATCCCCTCCCACTTTCATCCCCACAAGTGGATCTAAGATTTAAAGGCTTCTGGTCTGGTAGGAGATGAAGATTCATAAATTACATTTAAAATATAACCCAAGACGTGTGCTCTTCCGATATCTAAGATTTAAAGGCTTCTGGTCTGGTAGGAGATGAAGATTCATAAATTACATTTAAAATATAACCCAGTATATAGACAGAGAGAGGACTCAGATACTCTGGGAACCTAGACAGGCATCTGACCTGGCGAGGGGGAGGGGAGGCTGGTGAGGAAGAACTTTGTGCAGGAGCTGCTTGCTAAGCTGAATTCGGGACGTGCCAGGAAGAGCCCCAGGAAGGGCCTTTTGAGAGGGGCAAGGCACGGCCCATGTTTGGACTGCAGGCACTTTGGGAGCCAGGGCACAGGCTGGGACCAGGGGGGCTGAGGAGCCATCAGGAGCAGGGCCCTGACCCATGCAGCGGAATCTCAGCAC